TACGTATGCAACTTTTAAGTGCAATGCATTGTGGATAATTGGACTCATGTTTCAACTTATTTGTGTGAATTCGAAATTATCCTTACAAGGTCGATTGCTCATTTGTAATTACAAACATATGTATGTATGTACATATGTACATCAATTCTTAAAAAAGCATGTTTACCAATTTTTGTATAAAAATGAAAAAAAGCCCACCGCGGCAACAGTTCAAATGTTGATTCGCGTTAGTTCATCGTTTGGTCGAGAAAAGAGTGACGATATGTTTGACGATCTGCAAATGATCTATATGAGTGTACGCATTCTGCGCTTCTGGTCACTGATTTACGAACACACCTGGCGCCGTTATGTTTGCTTATCGATGACAACGTTTTTAGTTTTCACTCAACTCTACTATATGTTTCACACTAGCGAAGGTATCGACGCCATAATTAGGAACTCCTATATGCTGGTGCTTTGGTTCAATACGTTATTGAGGGCTTATTTGTTGCTGTACGATCGGGAGAAGTACGAACGGCTGTTGAGTGATCTAGAAAAATTTTACTATGACCTAAAGGTAAAGTGCTTTTTTTGGATGAAAGTACTACATATCGCACACCTAGATTTAAAGTGAGTTAACTCAAAGTTCAGAGAGGGAAATTTAACTGCTTGTACTTCGTATAGATTCAACGCAATTACATAATACAAAAACAGGTATAACAGTAGTTTTTAGGGTGATGTGTATAAAAATTAAAATATCTCCATTAATTGGATGCAAGTCCTATGAATTGATTTATCCAAAAAAATCGGCCAAAATTTTTTTTTTCGTTGATCGCACTTTAGATCTTGGTGTGCGATATGTATATATGTTTTGCACTCTCTTGTGGAGTTCGGCCAGCGCTGGGCATGGCTGTTTAAATGGTTCGCGCTACAAAATCGCCAAATTTTAAGTATTGTTTAATAGAATAATGCAAAAATTGTTGTTACGTCTAAAAAAAAAAACAAACAAATTCGACCTACGATTAATCGAAGTTGATTTAGTTTTTAATTAATTGCTTTAGTTGAGTGATTGTTCTGAAATATTTCCGGTGTTTCCATGCTGGTCATATATGTTGTTGCGAATATTCGCATTCGCATTAGCAACCGCGGATTATATCTGTAACACATAACGTGTAATGTCAAACAAATCGGAATAGGTTAGTTAGTCCCTGGTGCAGCTACCGAAAAAATATATATATGTTAATCCAACCAGTAAGCCATCTACGTGCCAAATTTCATTTCAATCCGTTTAGCCGTTTTTGCGTGATTGAGTAACAAACAACCAAACATATAAACTTTCACATTTACAATATTAGTAAAAAATAACAGTAATATGTTTATATACAATAGATGTCACTCCCATTTTTCCAATAACCCTCAGTATTCTAATGAGCCTGATTTCACATACATACTTCAGCAATACTTTCAGATATGAGGCCATGACACGATTCAATAATACAAGGTTCGATAAACTGACGGTTGTCTCTCTCGCACCGCTCCCTTAGCAGTGGCACCGTGTTGCTTCTTTGCAAATTTACATGGAAACAGTATAGCTTTGGTGTGAAATAAAAGTATAAGCTTTTGTGCAATATGTTTATTTGTATATGCATATGATATTTAACTGATGAAAACATAAGCATTGGATGTTTACATCAATCTCATAGTAGTCTTATTTTAATTTTGAGTCATTTTGCAGTTTTTGTACAGCTAAATAGCACATAAATTACGTAATTCACGTAGATATATCAATATTACGTTCAACATTTCATTTAAAAGTCCAGATTTCCTGCAAATACATTAGAATTTACAAAAGGAATTTTACTACTAATTGCCTACTTTACGTACTTTTCTACTACCATTTTCGCAACAAGGGATTGCAGTCTTGCCCTTTCTCTGTCCTTCGTAAATGCGACCTTTTGTAAGGGAGTGTCAAACCGCAGCTGTCAATAATTATCTAACCTTGTGTTATTGAATCATGAGGCCATGAGAGCAGAAGTGGCCTAAGCCACAATTATTTTTTTTTATAGTACGCTAAGCAGCTGTAAATGTGAAAAATAAGCAATACGCGCAATACTTCTACTTTAAAATTTGAGACTATTATAAATATGCCGGTAGGTAGGTGCAAACAATTTTTTTTTTTGGGTTAGGCCACTACTGCTCTCATTTAGTATGTATAGGTGGCGCCACGCCCACTTTTTCAATATGGTATTTTCCTGCTGTAAAATGGAGACCATATCTTAAATTAGACCTCAAGCAATACATCGGTGGTAACTGCATTCAATTCCATGTATTACTTTTTGAGTGATGTGCGTACAAACTTACAGACAGACTGACAAAAAATTAAAAATTATTGATTTGGCTTCTGTTGCTCTAATAAAGACCCGCCCATATTCGTTTTTCCTTAATATTTATAATGTAAATACAAGAAAGAAAATCTGTTCCCACATCCTTATATATTGATACACATAAAGTTGCTTCAGGAGCACTGAATTACATTAAATAAAACATTATAGAAAAAAAAAATAAACAAATTTAGGTAATTTATAGTACACAGAGCTAAAAACAATTATCTTCTTTTATTTTATATTTTCTCAGAAAACAAAGGATTCCTACATACAAGATCTACTTACCGAGGTCAACTCGACTGGAAAATATATGGCGCGCGGTAATCTCTTTCTTGGACTTCTAACCTGTTTTGGGTTTGCTTTCTATCCACTCTTTACTACCGAAAGAGGTTTGCACTTTGTTGTGTCCATATTTCAGAGCTTGTTTTCCACTAATTTATTTTTTCACTTGTCAATAGTTTTACCTTTTGGTAGCATGATTCCAGGCATTAACGAGTACAAGAGTCCTTTCTACGAGTTTTGGTACATTTATCAGATGATAATCACACCCATGGGCTGTTGCATGTACATCCCTTATACAAGTCTGATAGTGGCTCTGATTATGTTTAGTATTGTGATGTGCAAAGCTTTGCAATTTCGTTTGAAAACTTTGCATCGTGTGCGGCATATTGATGGGTTGATTCACAAAAATGTTAAGGAATGTATTCAATATCAGCTAAACATTATAAAGTGAGTAAAGTGAAATTTTTATATTAAATTCTTTTCTAATAGTGTTCATTTATGTCTATACACATACGTATACATACATATATTAGGGCGGGTCATTTTTTTGTTTGACTATGCGCGTATAGCGTAATATGATTCTACGTGTAATTCTAAGCAAATTTGCCGAAGAAGCCATGGGTCTTAAATCAATTTGGAGTTTGCCAAATTGCGAGAATTGGTTTCAAAGGAAATATGAAAATTTTCACTGTTGCACCCTCTGGTGGAAGTTTTAAGAAAACTCCTTATAGCATATTTTTATACAAAATGTAAAAGCACTCCTTTTCGACACTTCTTAGAATTATGCGTAAAGTTCTTCTGTGCAATACGCGCATAGTCGGAAAAATCTCCTATCGAAATTGACCCGGTCTAACATACACACAAATGCTATATGTATATCACAATGCAGCTACATCGGTCGAGTGAATAATTTGACAACCTACATTTTTCTTTTGGAATTTCTTGCTTTTGGTACTCTTTTGTGTGCGCTGCTTTTCTTATTAATTATTGTAAGTATTAGTTTAATTTTAAACCAATTCATAAATATCAAGAAAATTACTTATTTCATCAAAATTTTGTTGCAGGTGGACTCAACAGCTCAGACGGTTATTGTTTGTGCTTATATTACAATGATATTTGCACAAATTTTGTCCTTATATTGGTATGCAAATGAACTTCGGGAACAGGTATTTAGTTAATATAAAGATATGAACAAATTTGCACACACTTTTTTAAATTAAAAAAATTAAGTACAGACGCAAAGAAACTTCTCTCCATAGTTGCCCAAGAGTTCGAATAATAAAGTGCGAACAATTTAAAGTTTTTTTCATTTGAGGTGTTCACTGTTCATTATAAAATCGGTTACAAAATGTTCTCGTCAAATGAGGGTAGTCTTCCAGCATTCACTGTGAAATTCTCGCAAAACTTATATGTAGTGTAACCTATACCTATATATAAGTAATAACCTACACAATTTAAATTTTTAAACAAAAAATACAACCAACTTTAATGTTCAAATAAAAATGTCCGATTTTCGCGAAATCTTCGAAAATGCGATCACTAAATCCGTATCGCTACGAACGTAGTATGCACGGTGGCGAAAATATAAATAGGCACGCGACATTTTAACAAGTTTTTCTTTTGTTTATTTAATGTAAATTATAATTTCTTTTATAAAAGTGTAGCTCATCTCTAACAAAAAATATGAACATAATTCAAAATTTATAAAAGTTCGACCAATTTCAACAAATTTTCAAACTTTTTCTCAGACTTTTTGGAAAAATTTTTGGTATGCAGTTTTGTAGTCCATTAAATTTTGGTGCTCATTAAATAAAGGTCAAGTTTAAGTGGCTGCAAAATATCGTTGATTTTTAGCATGATTAGACGATGTTACTTTTTTCCAAAAAAAAAAAAAAAAACAATTGCCAAAAATCAACGGTAAGTCCTGGATATTTCAAACTTGATTTATTTATACTAAAATTGAATGACAATAAAAATGTGTTCGTACTTATCCGAATTCAGTGGCAAAATTGTCGAAAAATTGGACTAAAATTGGTTCAATGACATCCCAGATTATATTATGCAATTCTTAACCCTACTTCATCTCTATTCGATTTACCAAAAATATTTTTACACTGAAAAATCTTACCAATTTTCATTTCTTTGCAATCATAGAATCTTGCCATCGCTGCTGCTGCTTACGATACTGAATGGTTTACATTTCCAATAGCGGTGCAGAAGCATATTCTCTTGATGATACTGCGAGCTCAGAAGCCGCCAGCGGTACGAATGAAGAACATACATACATATTTAATTTCTCTCTTATGCACATACATATCGACGATGCCTTTGCAAAACCGCCCATCGACCAGTTGCAGAACCGCCTAAATTGCAGTTGTGGTAAAAATGAGGCTTGGTAACCCTTGGCGGTTTTGCAATTGCTCGATGGGCGGTTTTGCAAAGGCATCGATGATATGTATGTACATATGTATGTATATACATTAGACCGTAGCGAAAAAAAGTTTGCCCCCTGAGTTCAAAGTATTTTCAGGGACGGTAATCATTATGCGTAACATAATTTAAATGATCATTTCGTCATTATTTTATGATTTTTATTTTTTCGCTTAAAAATAATAATTATTATTGCGTTTTATTTTTTCACTTAACGGAAATAATTATTATTTGATTTTTATATTTTCGATCAGAAGTAATAATTATTTTATGATTTTTATTATTTCGCTCAAAGATAATAATTATTATTTAGTTTTATTTTTCCACTAAAAAATAATGATTATTTATAAAATTTAAAAGGTCATACAGACCCAACCAACTAAAATTTTGACCTGAAAATTTTGTGACTTATTCCTTTTATGGGAGTATCTCTACCACGTCGAAAATCACGCTGGTATAGCTTTAGAGTTTTTGGATAATCATTATTCTCAATTGAAAAAATAAAACTCAATAATAATTATGTATTACATATCTTTGAGCGAAAAAATAAAATTATATTATTTTTTATCGAAAAAATAAAAATCAAGTAATAATAATTTCCTTTGAGCAAAAAAATAAAACTCAAATATTGTTATCGTTAATTTTTACTGTTTAAACTCGAAAAATCAAAATCATTGTAAATTACAATAGCACGTACGAATACATATATTAAAATTGTGAAATAGGTGAACTTTTTTTTTGTTTGCCTGCAATGTGCTACTGCCATGTGCATACTCATGTACCTATTTCATTTTCTTGTGCTTTCCAGATAATGGTGGGACATATTCATCCTATTTCGTTGGAGCTATTTCAATCTCTACTCAATGCTTCTTATACTTACTTTACATTGTTGAAACGAGTTTACACTTAAGGTTTCCAAATATTCGTGTTAACTACGAATTATGCTACGTAGTTTTTTTTTTATAGTAACTGAATGATAAGATAGCACAATGAGACGTTCCCACGACAGTCGGGTCTACGTAACCGGAACGACCCAGATTTATATCTGGCCAAGGACTGTCACTCCAGCAACACTCCCCAAAAAGTCTTTGGGGAATTTGTATGCTGCTACAACAACAACATAGCACAATGAGAATTCACTAGGCTTGCCCTATTTTTTTTTATTTATGCACGCCTATACTATATAAAATACTTTTACGATTTGGCTTTTAATTTAATTTTTATTTCGAATTCATCTTACCTTCAATAGATATTTTCATTTTCAACAACTTTTACTTTTTCAGATAAATAAAGGTATATATTGTATGAATACATTAATATTAATTATTTTCTCCCATGTTATAAACAAAGTTTAGTCAAAGTCTTAAATTTTTTTTATGTTTATTTAATATACTTAGGCATATGCTTCTTTTATATAATTGATTTTAATTAAAATCTACTTTGAAGTATTACATTTGGTTTTTAGCTTATTGCAAGGTGCTAAGTTACGTATACATAGACATATGTATGTAGGTTTGTATCAATAAATCTTCTGAAATATAATTATTTAATAATTAAACAGTATTTCGTTTCGTTCGTACAAACAGTATTGCAATTATTTTGCGTCATTTTGCGTAAAATCTAAAGCTAAAGTAAATGAGGCTAATTTTAGTTATTGAATATAAAATTAAAACATAAAAACACGTTGCACATAAAAATGCATTGCGACTGCTAAACAATGCATGAGTGTATTAAAATAATTAGATCAATGTGCAAGCTGGCATTGCGATACTATTAATTTTTCACCGTTGAAAAAAACTTTTTTTGGTGCCTATGGACACCGCGATCCAAACATATATACCTGCATATGTATAAGAGTAATAGTAATAAAATGTATATTAGATAAATATTAATCTATAATTGATTTTAATGCAAAAAATAAGAAAAAGTGTGTATACAGGCTTTTCCAAAATTAGAAAAAAAAAATTAAAAATTAGGAATTTTGAGAGATGGGTTCCAGAGAAATATTTCGCACTAATGTTGTCACTGTTGTAACAACATGCAAACTCCCCCAATTTGCGGAATGTTGCTGAAGTGACCGATAGTCGCGCAGTTAAAGGCAATGACAATCCTCCGAGCATATTTCTGTCCTGAAAAGGCTTCCCATTAATACCATTTGTCGTTCGGAGGCGGCGTTAAACTTAGGTCCCTTTTTTTGTGTTTCAACATCAAGACGGACAAGTTGGAGAAGAAGGTGGGACAAATTCTTGGCAAAAGACTAAGCGCCAAAAGTTTATTTTAATTTTATTTTTTTGCTGAATTGACGGTTCTTGGCCAGACATATATGTAGTACATATGCTAATATGAGTCGTTCCGGTTATGCAGAACCGACTGTAGCTTATAATTCATTCTGTTGGAAATGCATTAATTGACTCGGATAAATCATGAGGACCGGTTTTACGATACGAGACCGACTTGGGTAAAACGTACCAAGCACATCCACAAGCACTAGCAAGTTGCTGTTGCTTGAGTTAAGCAGTTTTCCGAAAACTGAGCCGAAACTCAAGTTGAATTTTTATTCACATATTCGGCAAAGCATTCGGCACTATCGCGAATTTCACGTCAACAAATATTCCCAAAAATAATTATAAAACAACACAAAAACAATTTTTCCCAATTTGCTTTTGTTTTCCATGTAAAATTATGGGAAAGATTTATTCACATGGAATTGGTGATAGGGCCGATTGATTGTCTTTCCAGTACTATTCCGTACAGGTTTATGAGGAATGTTTTATGCCGTTTCAACAGTTAACAAGAAAAGAGATATTTCCTACTGCTGTCGCTGCATCTATAAAATAAGCAAAGCGAACATTGGACTATCTTCGCACTCTTCAGTTATAAAAAATGTTGCAATACTCTTGAACCCGGCTATACAAAATAATAATTTAAAACGATATTTGAATAATAGTTACTTACAGCACTAATTAATGTTACAGTTGTAAATATAATCGTATTTTTATATTAATACATGATTAACATGATCACATGTTTACATACATACAAATATCGTATTTCAGAGTTTCCCACGTTATGCATATATTTGTAGATGAGCACACCAAAACATAATTCACCACAACGTGGTCGTACCTATCTACCTGTTTAGATAATTTCATATATATATATATATATATATATATATATTTATATCAAACTGTCATTATATTTGCACAACTCCTGCTTCTGACCAAACTATGTAAAATGTAGCAACAATCAATAAGCCAACTTCTGATAACTTTTCAATTTCACTTAAGCCCGTAGTTAACATGTATTTTTACAATAATTTATTCATCTGTGCATTCAAACTACATTCACTGGTATTAATCTATTTATAATGATTTGTAAATTGCTATTGCTATATCATTTAATATCTGTTTGCCTCTTAGCGGATATTAAGTGTCGTATACATAAATATCGACACTTTTTTGTACGTAACTAAATGTCACCTAAAGACTGCAATTGCCTACAGAATGCAACATGCATACATACATATCAAATACATACATACACGTACATTTATTTATATAAATTTGGTCACAATTTTCTTAAATTTAAAAGGAATCGCTTCCTTGGTAAATCGTTCAATTGCGTTTTACATAAAGTCAATAGCGAAAACGCCAATGATGCTTAGCTTCTACCGTTAATCCTCTTATTCATTCCCGAATTGCTGTATATTTGTATTATCAATTGTTATAATTCTTATTGAAGTTCACTAAGGAGCGACACCTCAGTTTTTGGGTGAGACCGTTATAAGTTTGTGTGGCGTTACCGGGGAAATCTGGAGTAAATGAATGTTTAAAATGTTAGCATATATATGTATAGTATATACACAGTTTATTAATGTTATAAATTATCATACCCAAAGTGATCGGCTGCCCATGAACGAATCGTCATCGTCTTCGATTAAGCTGTGATGATGATGGTGGTTCTGCTGATCGATAAATATCAAAGTGTCTTTGCTGCATGTATTAGTAGAATTACGCAACATTGACGATAACGTTTCGCTACATTCGCGTAATTTACAATTTGAACTGGTGGAGAACGAATGCCTTAGATTGAGGCCATGCACGTGCTGATGATTGTTAGCTTGAGTTCCACTCTCCAGTGCTGAGACACTCGAACGACTACCATGCCATGGCTGATGACGCGATAAGTGGAGTTCGTGTGCTGTATGCGCTGCCACTGCAGCGCTAATAATACTGCTACTATTACTCTTTAGGCTGCTAGAGAGTAATACTTCCTTGTAGTTGCTGCTCGCTGTGCCCGAAGTGGCTGTGAATCCATTAAACTTGTTTTGTAATGTCGAAGCGCCATGTATGGACGCGGCTAGCGAGTGTGGCGAAGAATGTGACGACAGCGATGAACTGGAGGAGGAAGTTGAGGAATTTCTAATGCGGCTACCATTAATACCGACTGGAATTGCAGACATGGGAATGAGACTCGTGCCCGGAGTGTTGGGTTTACCAATTATTTCGGCATGCACAAGGCTCATTGGCCCCCGATTTGGCAATGTGGAGTTATCTATAGCATAGCCATTGGTTAATACTGTTAATACTCTATTTGCTGAGGTGCTAGCAGGTGCTTTTGATGGTGTCGCACAAGCTGGTATCAGCGTCGCCTCAGTCGTCGTCGTCGTCGATACTGCCATCGCCCTGGAAGTCGATACGGGTGACGATTGTAATTTGGTAACAGATGTTGCGCTGTTCACGGATTGTGGTATTTTTGTTTGTGTTTGACTTTCTTCAGATTGACAGTCTTCGTCCATAACGAAGATCTGATTGTCGCCAACGCTACTGGCCATAAATTCTTCTTTAAGGGATTTAGCGATGCTATTAACAATTTCCTTCTTGCAATCAGCATTAACCTCAACGTCAATAGCGACAGCGTCCGCATCAACAAAGTCTAGCGTTTCAATATCGACTGAAATCTTTTCAATGTCCACAACCATTGGAGCCGTTTCTGTATTTTCTGTAGATAAAAATGTGTTAGGAAAGGGTTTAAAGCATTTTCAGAATTTAGACTTACCATTGACAACTGCGTCCACTTCATGTACAGGTTCCTTCAATTTTGGTATATCCACGGATTTTTCGTCAGCTTTTCCAGGTGTTGTGTCAATCGCTGGAGCTGAAGCGACAATAACAACTTCCTTACGATCCTCGGATATATCTTCTTCAACGAGTTTCTCCTCGGTGGCGATTATCTTCTCAACCACTGCCATTGGAGGCGGTGCAATTCGCGAGACCCAGTGATCGCCAGAATTCGAACTCGAACCGGAGCATTCAGTTGCATCCCCGGTGCGACGTTGGTAAAATAACATGTAAGCCTCATTATTAATTATCTCTTCTTCGATTGATTCGTTGGGTACCTTGGAAACCCTTTGATCGTCGAATTTGTACCACTGCCTATCGTAGGGGTTCTTACATGCGGCAGTGTAGTGACCCGTCTCGAGCGTATCCCCTTGATGGTAGCACACAGCGTACAAATCATAACGCGTCTCCCTGTTATCTCGTGAGCTAAGCGTGGATGATCGGGAGTCTCCTGAACGTGTCTTTTTCCATGGACTTGGGCGACTATGCGGCCCCATGTCCAAAGCAGCAGTCACACTGAGCGTTGTGCGCGGTCCTTCCTCCTCTTCATCGCCGCGCGCCAAATGCGGTGACATATCGAATGCATTTAACGGGAATTTTACCATAGTGGTAAGTTTTGCCGCATTTGCGCCCTTCTCGTGGTGCTGACGGAAACGCTTGAAATGCACCACCAATATGTCAGGAAGCGACCATAGACCTAGCGTCTTCACAACCGGCAGATATTGCTGACAGTGTGGGCAGCGCCAGGCATCCTCGGCACTCAATGTTTCAGCTTTGGTGTAGTGCTCAAGACATTGCTCTAAAGTAAGTACTGCAGTGTCGTTTGCCGTCTTCGATTTGCCATCGTTGCTTAAACGCGGTACACTTTCGTCTTCCACTACCTTATCACTGAGATCCGCAAAATGTTTTTCGGGCTCAGACCACTCGAGCAAAAGTTTTATATGTGGTGGTCCAGCCTCCGCCGAGAGTACTGATAATGCTAAATCGACCATCTCCGTTAGAAGCGGGTGCTCAACATTCTGCAGGTATGTGTCTGGATCTGCAGATGGATCCTGGAGACGCATTTGAAACATATCACTGAGTGGCTTTGCATTCGAGAAAACTTCAGGTTTTAGCAATGACGCCATTTCGCATAAAAGTAGTTTTTGTAAATCGGCATAAGAACAATCTCGTGCTGCTAGCAAGCTAAATGGCATGCCAAACCGTTCTACAGTATAGACAGGACCGTTGACTTTCGCTGCTTCATCACCTTCAACAGCTACTTTCCGCTTGCGCACATTCGCGACCAGTAAAATTAGCTCCGTTGTAGTGCTGGCAGTGGATGGAGTATTTGTGACCTTGGGGCCAGCTGCATTGGAATTGGCATTGGCATTAGTATCGGTAGTTTTGCCAGATGCACATATCTTGTTGGCCTCTGTTGAATTTGTGATAGAATTCGTTGCCGCGCCACTAGTTTTGGAATTAGCATTGGTGGTGCCAATTATGTCCTCCTTCTTCTTCTCCTTCTCCTCGGATGCAACTGTTTTCGATGATACCGTTGCTGGCGCGTTCTTTATTTCGGGTACTTCGATACAATAAATCGATTCGATACCACTTAATGTAGCTACTGGTTGTGAGTCGTAGAAGACGCGCGTAAATCCTTCTTTGTTTATATCAACTAGCACCATGCTTTTGCCCTGAATGCCAGTATCTGTTTGTAATTGGTCGCGTAAGGCGACAATGGGCGAACCAGTGGGCACGCTTATACCGATCTTTATTTGTCGCGGTTCTCGTTGCAGATATACCACAGTTACGAAAACTGTCTGTTGCATCAACTGTGGCAACTGCACCGAAATGCAATGGAACGGATCAAATGTGTTGGATTGTTTTTTACAGCGTGGGCAAGTGAGCGACGAGCGGAATTGTGCCTGGAACACCGCTTGTACGAAGGAATTGTTGCAGCGGATGTGATTTGCCAACGTTTCTGCGGCGATTACTTCATCAGGACGGCCATAGGAATTCTGAAAGTGCGATCACACAATAATGAGTCATGTTACTTTGATGGATTAGCTACAAGAAATGGGAGAAGCTGACAGAATAAAGGATTTGACATTTTGTTCACAGGCCCTTAGCTTAAGGGCCTCTAATGTACAAAAAATTTCCGATCTTATAAATTTTGGTCAATACATAAGCTCTATTCGATTTATCTGCTGGTGATCATACGCCATACCCTATACGTATGTATAAGCATATTAAGGTGCATCTCTCTCACCAAAAAAATAAAAATAAAATAAAAATTGTACCTACCATGTAAACCAAAGTTGCCGAATTCTTAACGAAATCTTTAAGAGTATCTCACTTCTATAACGATTTTTTTACACAAAAATAAAATTGAAGGAGAACGAAAAATGACACTGAAGATGACACAACGCCGAAACCGGTTTGTCTGCAAACCCCAAACTTGACAAGGGATGACGGAAATTCGTTCCAAAATAAATCAATATTATATGAAGTGCTTGACAAGAACTCGTAAAGAAATTTCTGTACGAAAAATACATAAAATTCTGAAAAAATTCTACAAGAAACTCTTCACATAGCAGCATTATTTTCACTGCTCAACCGATTTTCTTCCGAAATTTCGTAAAAGAATCGAATAAGTTTTTTTTTCAGTTTAAAAAATTCTTATTCGTTTTAAGAATGACATTGCAGCAGCTAAGAAATCAACCGATATTATAGAGAAAACTCATCTGTACAGCACTCTTTGCAACAATACACGCCTAATATTCCTAGCGTAGGCTGCGTTTCTCTAAACTCATTTAAGTGGAAATTAACTTTAATTTATTTTTTTATTTAATTCTCATTTAAATTATTTTGAGTTTCAATGAGTTCTTTATTCAATACTACGTTCAAATTGACGGGCTAAACATGTTAAATGGGCTTGAACCAGTTAAATAAACAAAACATGTTCATAAACAAGTTAAATCGCATGCAATTGTTGTTGGAAAATTCAACCAGTTAAATCACTTAACTCGTTTGAAAACCAGTTCAGCGCAGAGTTGTATCAGAAAGCTTTCTGCTCCGGCCAATCAGAAAGACCCAAAAGCTTTCATTTGACACGCCAACGTTCAAAAAATTTATATTCTGAAAAATATTACAAATTATCAAAAAATATCAAAACTGTATGCATGTCTGCCCGCCAAAAAAGACGCCCAGGCGGTAAATAGTTATTTCCCATGAGGTCTCATCGTACGCAGAGATAAATAGTGCATACGAACTAAACATTTTGAAGTCTCTAAGTTATCCGTATGCAAACAATTGAAATTTCGAAAATTAAAGTAATTTTCACTTAAATGAATCTGGTGAAACGCAGCCTTAATAAATAAATGCCTACTATTAGTTTGAGAATGGCAGGCGCGTTGTTTTCTCTTGAATGAACTATGCATGATACAAAAAAACAAGGTAGTTCCATTGTCACTTTTTCGTCGCCATATTAACAACCTGACAATTAAGCAGATTGTGACATTTCGTGCTACCATACCCAATATCTAAAATCCTTCAAATTTTCTTATTAATTTTTTGTCGATTTAAAAATATTTTGTTCTTACATGTACATTTTAAATTGTGTGAAAGCTGACAGTTTATAGAATTCAATAGCGACGAAAACAAAGGGGGTTAAGTGGTTAAACCTTACCTAAGCCGATCATAAAACTTGCGACGCAATTTCAGCATATGCCTATGGGTCTTGGCGAGAATGTAATCCCTGAAGGTTTAGCTTAAAATGGTTCTCGGGATACACCCTGTGATCCTGTTACTTTCCAGAAGGTGTCGCGCCACAAGAATTTTAGTTTATTTGGCTTATACCGCTAGCTTTCAATGGCTTCGAGATCGTTTTCATATACCCTCATTTTTCATACCTCATACCTCTTTTTACCTCTATTCCAAGTTCTACGGTGGCACGCCGCATTTTCCAATAAATCCATACATATATCCAAACAAAGTTCCGGGACTCTACCACAAATAATTCCAGAGATATGCACTATGAAAAATTCGATTTGTATGGGAGGTTCCACACGCCCTTTAGATATCGGGTTTGTTTTAGCCTATAACCATTCTTGGAAAATTTGTGTCCGAAATTTCCAAAAAATCGGTACAGCCGGTATGAGCATTGCGACTCCTCAAGCGAAATGAACTAATGATTGCAAAAAATGAAATCAAACATCATAGTTGACCCAAAAAGAATATTAGACTTCATTCTCTCAACTTCTCAGAATGTAGAAAAGCTAAGAAATATATAATAAGATAGGATATATTAAAACAGCCTCCAAACATTTACTAAAGACGCCCTTGGACTACACAAATCAGTTTGATTGAAAATTTATTTGTATCTATTTATTTTATACTTCAATTTTGGGTGTGTTAAAATTTCATGTGAAAACAATATGTGTTGCTGGAAAAATTTTAGGCCCATGGGTCCTAAAGTAAATTCCATTTGCTGTCAAATGGACAAAGACAATATTGTATTACGAAATGTGTAATTTCAGTGTCTGAATTACATCAGAATCATCGTATCCGATATAGAAAACTACATTGTGAAATAATGAGATGACATGAGGACACTAAAAAAATTTTAAAATATGTTCACTAAAATTCTATTAATATTAAAATAATGATTTGGCAAGTTGGTATCGAATTTTATGTTAAATTTAAACGTTTTTAAGACAAGATATTGATTATTCTTAAAAGGTATATATGAATACAACTATTTTCTTTATAATCCCAAATTTAGGATATAAAATCTCCCACACCAAAAAACTTACAATTGGGTAACGCCGCTTCGATTTTTTTACAATTGAGCAATTGTCAAAAATCTGCTTTTTAATCAAAAAGTTGTTTATTGAAACTACCTTCTTTTTTGTATCATGGAACTATGTATGTTAAAAAAAAAATAAGAAAAATTTGGTATAGAAAATATAAATAAATAAAATCGCCAAAACGTCAGGGTATTAAAATTTTAGATGCTGATTGTATATAATAATTTCTTCAAAAAACGTTAAATATCAAAAATTACAAATTACAAACTTTATCGACTAAATAAACGTTTTAAGACTTGTTTCTGGAACTCCATTGATTGAAATAAATGCAAAAGAGTGCTTCAGCGTTTTCTTTTCCGACGAGAGAAAGGAGTGACACTAAAAAAACAACTCGTGAGATTTTCTCATATTGCCGTTTTAGCCCCCATATACATATTTGTTACCGTAAAAAAAATGATCGCTACTTTTAAAACAGAAGAAATTTTTTTGTCAAGGTAAATTTAAAAGCTATTTCATAATGATTTGCTGTCGACGCTATCGGCGTCAACGTTAGCAGCGCTGCTACCTCCTCCTTTAGTTTATCTTATCTACACGAGACGCTAGGTAAATTGTAGCTTTCCACTTTGCGAATTTGATAATAATTCAAGTGCACGCGTAGCAATACTTACAATCACGGCGCACTCGAATTACATACCTGCATACACAGATGTGTATGAGTACAAACTGTCGCGAGAAAATATTTTTAATAAAAATACATACTTCAACAATAATTTGCTTTTGTTTACATAAGCAGTCGGCGCAATATTGCGACAAACCCTTTTCATTTCTCTCCTCACTCTTTCTTTTTGATCACTTGTTTTTTGTTTTTGTTTTTTTTTGCAGATGCCTAATTTACAATGAATGTAAATAAGAATTGTAAAATTAACTGCCACAATCTGTCTGGTCGCCATCTATTGGCTAGCCACTAGAGCATTTGATGGGCAAAAATTACGCCGCAACATTTTCCTCAATAATAAAATGCAACGTAAATATGTATGTGCATAATATATATGTATGAAAGTGTATATACCTATCAGACATCTGCAGCGGGTGCATGATTTTCGTGTATACTCGATCATCTAACCAAACCCGTTTTGCATCGTTCTCTGTATACGAGCAGAAGTATTGTTCGTTATCGACTGAGCTCAAGACGAACATGTTGGCCACAACACCCGATTGCTTTTCATACATACTTGATTGGGTTCGGGTGCTTTGCAGCTCAATATACCCGGGTGTTCGAGTTTCAACCCGAGTGTGCACAAAATTTTCTTGATTGGCTTATGACGTTTTTGTTTCTACAAAAAATGTTGCCTTCTCATCGCGGTGTTCTTAGTTTTTGTGCGTAGAGGGTAAAGAGAAGGTTGAATTTTTCGGTAGTTTGTTTAAGTGTACATTTAACCATTTCTTATATTTTTGCTCGTACAAAATGCGGCATCACGACGCCTACATTCATTTAGGTATAAATGTGTGTAGATCGGCAATGCCCAAGCACTATACACTCGGTGCACATTTATTTTTTGTAAAAGTACTTATGTACCTACATAGTTTTAGGCTGTGTTCTAATATATACACACACAGCTTTCCACGCGAAACTATACGAAATAGATGCAAAAACATTTTTGTCTACTTCGCTTCTAATTTTTTCATTGCGTATGCACAAGCACAAAGCAACAACATTTTCGTATGCTTTGTGGGAACATATTGGCGCCAGTTACCTTCAGCGTAAATTTCTTTGTTGTCCTGCATTTTATCGCAATGTTCGGGTGTCCGTTTCATTGTTACACAAATTTTCGGGTTAGCTGCGGGTGTCCGAGTGTGGTGTTCGCTTGTGCGAGGGTGATCGAACAGACTCGTTCGTAACCAAAGCAGCTGTCGGGTATGCATCTCGATCGAACACATAATAGCCGAGTGTGGCGTTCGCTTGTGCTTGATTTTTAGTGAGTGTGATCAAAAAGGCTCGATCATACTCAAAGCTGTTCTCTGATACCTATACATACATAAATGTTCAAAACATTTGATGCAGACTTATGCAATTCATGAAACATTTTACAATTATAGTCAATAAGTAGATAAGATGCAATTTCTTCGCAATGCTTGCGTAAGAGAAGCTGGATAGAAGTGGAAATTTCTCATATTTTCCTCCATACTGTTGAAGTTGGAATATCAGTTTAATACAAAACCTGCGTCATTGTCGAGAAGATAGATATGTATCATTTCTAAATATACAAAAGATAAATTTCTACAAGGCTGGATGGACAAATCAAAATCTATTAATTTCTTTAATAACTTTCTACAAAAAGCTCTCATGCCTTTATCGGTTCAGTATGGTTTTTGTGTAATTATAGAACACTACCCAAATTTTTATTAAGGTTCAAACGGTGTGAAAGAAATAAAAAAAAAAGAAGTGTATCGGTAGTGGAGCAAATTAGGGTCGTATATGGTTGAAAAATTTATTCGGTTCGGTTGAGCGGTTCGAACCGTTTTGCAACTTTGGATTGGCTGGCAGAGCGAATTTTTTACCGAACTGAACAATTTTTATTTAAATACTTGCAATGGATGTTAGAAAAGACTTTCTATGACACTAATCCTAACTAAAAAAAGATTCCACTTTCCCCATATGCTGATAAAAATTCAAGTTTTTCTTTTTAATTCGGGCCTATACAACAATCTTTTCTAAAATTCGTTCCAAATATTAAAAAAAAAAATTGTGCATTTCTGTAAAAAATAGCTCTTCCAGCTATTTTTGAACAAAATCAGTCGAAAATTTCTCAGCAAAAAAATAAAAAATCTGCAAAATCAACGAGATCTGTGAAATATGCACCTAAAATTTGCACAAGATTATACTATAATTTATTGGGCCACACAATTTGTATGTCCATTTTTTAAAGTTTGGCGAATTTTTATAAATCCTGTATAAGGGTTACAACTTTGTTTTATATGTATGTACGACCCAAGGCATATCAAACAGGTACTAGCATTAGAGCAAACACAACATTTACGTGTATTTAGTTGTTGCTTCTGGTATCTAAAGTGTCAAAAAATAGTCTACTTTTTTAAATATCCTACTGGCTTCCCTAATTTGGAGCGCTAAGCGTTGCGTTTTCCAATGCCAACCAGCGACAGCGCACGCTATACCCAAATCATCGCGGCGTAATTTTTGACGTTTTCTCATTTCCTCTCGTTTTTATTCTCGTTTCCGCTTTCACTTTTTTGCCCCCTTCTTTCTTTCCGTCTGCTGCATCGAACTTCAACACGTAACGCCCTGTCAAAAATGTAAATTCCATTTGCTCGGCGCTAGCGCCGCGTTATTGTGGCATGCTTCATACAAATTGTATAAGTATTAAGATTTTTGACAGTGCCTTGGCGCTTGAAGCGCCAATTTAGGAATGGCAGATAGTGGGCGATGTGAAATATAAACAAGTCGAAATAAAACAATTTAAATTTGGGTCGAGACTCATTCTTTGTAAATTTTCTTCATTCCAGAAACATCAATACATCCTTTGCAGGGCCTAATAATCAGCGTTTATGCTCCTGAGTTAAGCAAACATTCGAAAAGCTGGCTTTCAATAGCTTTTTTGAATATTCACATGCAAATACATTTTGCCAATTAAAACTTTTTGTGAAAAAATTAACAATACTTGACAGTTTAGAGACGGAACAAATTGAAAAAATAGCTGTTCTACTCCTACTACCTGTTTAATAAGTCTTGGTATGACCTATATCTGTATGTACATATGTATAAATTGTTTAAATAAATTAAAACTCACAAAAAAAATAGTCAAAACTTGTAAAAAAGTGGTTTCTAATTATCGGGCCCGCAGTGTATGTATTCAGAGTATATCGATGGCTGAGTGGAAGATCGACCTATCTCGGTAACCAGTTCGAAAACGCCCTATCTCAGAAAATTTTTTAACAACTCCCTATTTAAGAATTCGGCTCAAAAACGCCCTATCTCAGCACATTTTCAATGTATTTTCGTTTGAGATAAGGCGTTTTTGAACCAAATTCTGAGATAGGGCGTTCTTGAAAAGTTTTCTGAGAAAGGGTGTTTTCGAACTGGCTGCCGAGATAGGTAACCTTCCTCTCAGTCATCGATATGCTACGTTCGTTTTTTTTTTGCTGGCGGTGTCACGTATTTTCTCCAAAAAAAAACCTGTGTTCGACATTTTTTCTTTGTATATGAGAGAATATTAACAGCATCGACAAAAGAATTATCAAAAATCAACGCGAATTATTAGCAATTGCACAATTAGAATTTTTTAATAATGCTTAATAAAAGCACAGTTGTTGCTGTAATATTAAATTCAAATTTAAAACGTTCATTTGTTCTCATTAAATATTTAGATACTTCCTTTTTAAGTTCTGAGACCAGAAGGAGTTACATATATCCCCTTTATATCTAAAAACAGTGCTTAACATTCTTATTTGGTATGAAAATTATATTTTCCATATTTACTATCACGTTTTTTTTTGTTGTCATGGCGGTAATGGCGGTAACAGGTCATAGCTATAAATAAATCTGGCTATAAGCGAATAGAAGTATATGAGCGATAAACAAAAACGTCCCCCGCTTTTATGTCGATACGAATCTCATAAAACAAACATTAAATGCAGACTTTAAGTTCCGAAAGTAGAGTTAATAAGTAAATAAAAGTAATAATCACCTTTACACTTTTGTAACGCCGTTTCGTAGCCGTATTCAAGTCCTCGTGCACCTTGTCCAGCAGCCAAAACAGAAATTCTTGAGCATCATGTTGTGTTGAGCTACGAAATTGTGAACCGTAGCGATCTACAACAGCCTGCACGAGAAAAAAAAAGAATTTGCATAAGAAAATATAAATGTTAATTTAAATATTTACACGCACGCATACATACACATGTATGTGCAAATACAAAAATTGACTCACGAAAAACGCAGAAGTTTTACCTTAAAACTGGTGCTGTGATCGCTCTCATTCTTGCATGTCCACAACGCCTTCAGTACATTGGCCAACTGCTCCGTAAGCTCTCCTTTTGTACCGAATTTTCGTGAATTGATTTTGTTGCGCCTCTTTAAATCAGCCTTAAATGGAAAACAAATAAGACAATTTTGTTGAACAAATTATATGTACGAACGTATGTATTATAAAATTAAATAACGGGCCGCTCTAATTTTTAAATTTTCGAATCTCTGCCGATGAATAGATGCTGATATCAATATTTTTTCTTTCAATATCCTAAAAATACTGAGCTGGCCCTACATTTAGTACGACCCAGGATACCAAGGTTGGTACGCGTACGCACAACCAAAGCTATAAGATATTTTCCTTGAAAGTTCCTGCAAATCTCACCTGCACTTCATATACGTACGTATATATCCAGACTCAGACGGAGGGAGCTATCATAAGGCTGAGTGGAACCAACATCTGGGCAGAAGGGTTTCTCAGCCGCAGGAAAGATATTCTAATGCAGCAGTGCCCAAAAATTGCAATACCGAGGAACACAATGCATCCACAGTTCAGTTTTACAAACAACTTTAAAACTGAATTTATGATACAAAGAATTGGTTCGATAAAAGTAACTATCGAGCATACTTTATATGGGAGGAATTGCTCAGCACCGCCAGCCAATCAACGGTATTTTCTAGCGTATTGAAATTTGCACTTTAACCTACTAAAGTTTAATGGGCTATAAAACGGCATACCTAAAAAATTGCCAAAGATTTTTAATAAGAATTTAAAAATTTTTGGGTGTAATTGTTAAAGTTTGTTGAATTTTTATAATTGTTGCACAAGGTAAGGTGCCAGACTTTTATAAAAAAAAATTATAAACAAGTAATAGAAAAAAGAGAAATAACTAAAACTGGTGAAATTGTCACTTAACTTGATCAGCTGACCACAAGTGTATATACTAAGTCATCTTGCAAAGGTAAAATTGGATGTGAATTCAAAAACGAAAAAGGAAAGTAAGATTTTAAATACACAAATGAAGTGCGATTACAAAAGTGTTCGATGATGTATGTTCTGTAATCCTAGCTGTTTATGTGCCCCCCTAATATTAAAATGTATATGTCTTACTTACTTAAGTACTTACGAGTATCAAATCAGGTTCACTACCCTACTCACCTTATATTGATCCAATACGAAATATTCGGCCAGTATGTCAGTGTGACTGAGACACTGTAGCACTGCATTCATGAAACATGTATTGCCGTGATTCTTGAGTCCCATAACGCCAGGTGTCTGATCGGCTGGCCATTGATAGTTGCCAATGGGTGGCACGCGATCACCGGTTGCAGATGCGGACAACGTAGCATTCTTGTTCGCCTAGATAAGAGAGCAAGGGGAAGGAAGGAAATAATGAAAACAATTAGTTAAATCATAAAATATTTCTCATTGCTATGGTACTAAGTTTAAGAATGAATTGTGCATATGTTGATTCGTTTCACTAAAACTAGTAATTTTAAACGGGTTTTTGCAATGAACGTAAATAAGAACCAGCGGACGTTTTGAGCCAATACTTAACAATAATGATGTATGTATGTATGTACATACTAATATTATTACCGACCAATTAGTTTTTGATACACACATACATATGTATGTATGGGCCAAACCATGTCAAATCGATCAATGGTTGAAATCAACCATTTTTGATTTGGATGAATTTTGGTCTGGTCGCTCGTCACTTTTTGATCTTATAACAAAGTCCTGCCAATGGAAAACAATTAAAACTGTTTTTCGAAAATGCAAAATTATAAATTTCACAATTTCCGGTATATTATAAAATTAAAATTTGAATATCTCAAAATCTATTATATGTAGTTACAAGAATTATTCTGGTCTCGCTTTAAACGAGATATATGTATTTAAAGAAAAAATATGTACAATCGCGGAGATTTGAATAGCACTGCAGGTCATTAGAATAGCACACCCCTTTGGAGACATGTTTTTCAAATTTGAATAAAATTGTAAAACCGGATTTACACGTATAATATGCTACATATTTTATAAGAAATCGCGAATATTAAATAAACAAAAGGAAAAATAAGGATCCAAAAGGGTGTGCTATTCAAATGACTGGGAGTGTAAAACTTATAAAAATGTTTGACACAATTTTTTTCAATGTTTTTTTTTTAAACTTAGAAAGAAAAAAATTTTGCAATCTCTATAAAGTGATGTTCAAAAAATGTTAATTTAATTTATTTTTCTTATTTAGAGTTTGCAAATTTTCTTTTCAAGAATTCATATCTTTAAAAAACCACCGTCTGGAAAATTTCAAGATTTTTTAAGATCAGTTGGAGCTATTATATTAAAAATGAGCACATTTTTTTTAGAATTTTTGCTTTTACAAAATTTTTAATTTCAAAATTCTGCAATTTTTTGTACTTCCAATTTTTTTTATTGTTTGTTTTCTTTATAGTCCTATAAGATCAGTTGAAGCTATTGTATAAAAAATGTTGCCAACATTTTTTAGAAGTTTTTGTTTTAATTTTTTTTTAAATTTCAATTTATGTAAATTTTTTATACTTCCAACTATTTTAATTTTTTTTTCTTTGTAGCCCTAAATAAAGGATAAATGTTGAGGTCTTGTTTAAAAACAGAAAAAAATAGCAAAAAATTTATATATGTACATTAGGGCGCAGTAATTTGTTCAGAACAAAATTTTCGAAAAAACTGCATAGCAAATTCGTACGATTAATTCTAAGCAAAAATGGCGAAAGAACCATAAAAAAAAATTAAATAACCGTATATTGTATGAAGAAAACACAAAATTTTGTAAATTAAAAATTAATTTCGTTCAGAAAAAGATATAATACACCGATTTTTATTTTAAAAATTGGTATATAGTGTTTACCATTTTTGCTTAGAATTTAACGTAGAATTCGAATATGCCATACACTTTTTTCGACATTAAATTACTGCGCCCTAATGTACTTTCATACTTTTATATGTAAGTTTTTACTTTTAAGATCTTTTAAAATAAAAATTCTGTAATATTTTTATAAAATTTTTTTTTTAATGTTTTTGTTATTAAAAACGGTCTCGAGCTAATTAAAAATTGTTGAATATTTTTTTTTTTTAAATATAATTTTTTTTATAGCTCAAATATCACCTCTAAAATGAAAGCAGAACCTTTTTGTAATCATAACAGTTTTTAAGATATTCTAAAAATAAATAAATAAAGGTAAATTGTGAAATTTTGAGCTTGCGAAATTTGTTTTCAGCTTTTGGTCAATTTGACATGGATTGACCCGTATATAATCTCAATTATGGAATTCAATTCAGGTAGTAATGGAACACTTTTGAATACCCATACTGGAAAGCCAAATTTGCATTTCTATGTATTTGCAAAAAAGCGCGAATATTCTTGAGCTTGAACGAGAGTGATTGTGGGGAAGGTATGTATGTTTGTGTATTTGCAATAGCGGCGGAAAAGGAAAACAGAAATAAAAGACTCGAAAATGTCGCCAACGTAATCATCAATAAGAGCAAATAAATGGCAAAAGAGAATAAGCTTATGAAAACAAAACCGCCGATCTAATCAATACAACGCTTCAACGTTTACCGACAATATTTGCGGAAATCAATAAAAAAAAATGTAATGCGCATTTATGTGCGAGCAAAAACGGGTATTGCAATAAATGAAAATGGCGAAGATAATTTTCATTCATCGCCTAAATTGGGCCAATTAACTTTGCCAAACATAGCACATTTAAGAATTACTGAATCTGCTGAAGCAAAAGCTTCAAAGTGTCTTAAGTAAAACGAAATAAGAAAGTCAAAAACATTGCCAGAGGGCAACAGGCAAAATGACAATAATAAATTAAAAAAAAATAATAATATTAAAGAAACGTTTGCAAGTATGTAGGTGTTAAGGTGAGAGGTAGGTGTATGTTTGTATGCATGTATGTCTGCAGCTAAGCTGATGCAGGTGGGCGTTGTGCAACTAAGCGATCTTTAGTGGGCGTCTAAAGTGAATATGCCAATTGCCATTTCTTGATTGTTTGCAGATGCGCTGTGTCTACCATGGATTTTGTTGGCAAAATAATATTAGCTTTTTTTTTATATTAAGGGTCTTTTTTCTATTTTTTTCTATTTATGACAAAGCAAAGGCTATCTACTCGCATTAAACGTTCGATGAGAAAGCAGCAAATATGATGTCTACCTTTTTTCTGCGCCAGCAGGCGGTGTAAAAAGGCACTATTCCCGTCGCTTTGTGTGCTGAACTTTCTTTCTGCACGTAATTGAAAGGAGCATGAAAGAGAAGTTACGAAGATTATTATGAATATATCCGCTATTAAGCTGTGAAATTAGTTTATTAAAAATTGTATGAATTTCTACTTAGATCAAATGGCCTCTTGAAGAGTGGTTTTTATAAAAATAATTCAAGTGGTTAGATAACAAAAAAAAAAAAAACACACGGCAGAGTATCTTACAGCTAATTTATTTGGTAAATATTTAAGCATTTCTCTAAACTTAATAAATAATTTCAAAGACTTTATCAAAACGGTTCTTTTATGGTATACATACAATATTTATTTTTGGCGTTTTCAAGTTGAACGCATTATAACCTCAAAGGAAATATCAAACAAAAAATAATATTAAAATCATTGTAATATTACGGAGTGGATAGGTTAGATTACTCTTCATCGAAAAAAAAAAAAAAATAGATGTCTATGCGATCTACCAATCATCTGACTGTTAAAGAAATTCTTGCCCAAAAAATGTTACAAATTTGTACAAATGATCGCATTTTATTTTTATATCGACACCTTAGGGAATACGGCAAAAAGATATAAAGGATTTTTAAACTTGTTTCCTTTAAAAAATTCTACATACTCATACACTATATTTTAAGCGCTTTCCCATTCCGGATATCGAACTACATACATACTTCAAAAGTGACAGCAGTTAAAAGTTGGAGTTGTTAAAAATAGCCGAAAGGCAGTATACAGTGCCGGACAAAACTATAAGCACAGAGAATTTTTCTATCTGCAAAGTTTTTTATTCCAATTTATTTTCGCTAATTTTTTATAAAAATATAGTTCGTCCTACACCAAAACACATAAAAACTAAATCTCTAAACTTTGTGCAAAGCTTAGGAAAATTCAATAAATTTGCATACTATTTTTAACCGACTTCCAAAAAAGGAGGAGGTTATCAGTTCGTCGGAATATTTTTTTTTTTTTTGTTTTTTTTTATGTATGTTACCGCATAACTTTGGACCACGTCAACCGATTTCGATAATTCATTTTGCATCGGAAAGGTAGTGTTAAGATCCGATCAGTGGATCATGAGATATATATATTTATATTTTTTTTTATATGAGAGTTGAAGTCGGTTTTTTTTTTGCTAAAAATTACTTGTTCAACTTTTTATTCAAAGTAAAAAAATTCAAAGTATGCAGTTTTATAGCCCATCTAATTCAAAGTACAAGCTTGAAGTTGCTAAAAAATCGAGTTGAATAAAAACCTGAATAGAAAGTTGCAAATTATTATGCAAATTTATTGAATTTTCCTGAGTTTTATATCCCATTTAAACCTAACCTATAAGCCTATTAACTGCATACGCCAAAATTTTTTAAAAATTCTGGTTGAAAAGCTCGAAATTTAGATAAAAATTTGTGGAATTTTTCTAAGTTCTGTATAAAGTTTAAAAGTGTGATTTATATAGTTTTTATTAAAGCATGACCTTATAAAATATCAAAAAAAAATATTAGTTTGAAAAACATTGCAAATATTGAGGCGTATTCTTGTTTTCGTACGAATCGAAAATTTGAAATTTTTGTATAGAAAATTATAGGAAAATTTCATGATTTTCGATTCGTACGAAAACAAGAATATGCCCCATTAAAAACGAAACACCATTCATTTATTTTTGACCGCCACTGTAACTCATGACATATCGACGGCTGAGTGGAAGATCGACCTATCTCGGTAGATGGTTCGAAAACGTCCTCAACTCTCAGAAAACTTTTCAAGACCGCCCTACTTCAGAAATTGGTTGAAAAACGTCTTATTTCAACTGAAAATATATTAAAAATATGTTGATATAGGGCGTTGTTATACTGGCTGCCAAGATAGGTCGATCTTTCACTCAGCTGTCGATATACAATAACACTAAAATTGTCGAGTAATAGCAAGCCTTGAAAGTTTTTGGCGTTTCAATGCTCCTTAGCTGCTGATGAAGAGGACCGCAGGGCCATACAAAAGATGAAAAAGCGTAAAATCTAGAATCATAAGTAGTTATAAGTTCATAACATTAACACAATTTCACTACAATGATTCAACAATTATGTTGCATAGTGTTTGTACAAGTGTAAA